ACACTGTAAGAGTCTTTTATAATAATTGCCCTTCCTTTATATAAACCAGTTATTTGCATTGTTCGTGAACCTTTAATGATGGGAGTTCCTTTCACTTCTGTCATGTGTCTTAAGATGAAGTTTATGTCATAACTGAGGTTATGGAAATATATTAAACTCTTGTCAGGAAGTCTTTCCAAAAATTCTGTTGCACAGTTTTGACCCCAAATACTTTCACTAACTGAACCATCTTCACTGTCATAACAGATGTTAAAAGCTTTATGAAAGCCATCCGTACTACACTCAAAGTCAGCAAAGAAAACGTGCTCAGGTATGAACTTACATTTAGCTTTATTTACTTCTTTTGACTCTGCTTTCTTCTTCAGTTGTACACAATACTTTGGAGCATATGTCAAATCTTTAAATGGTGCAAGGTTCTGTTTATATAAGTCAGTCGTATATGTGAAAAGTTCTCCATAAGAAATAGGTTCAAAATATTTGCACTCCACAATGTTTTCATAACATCCCATAGCGGTGTAGTTCTATCCATGCGAACTACATATTTATCTTCTCTCTTTGTATATATTTTCATCTGTTTTTCAATGTTCATTCCACCACACTCCTTCAAGATTTCTATATAGTTTCGAATGAAATATGTTGTCATTGGAAGTCTTTCATTTAGCATGTAGTGGTCTTCAACAAGAAGTAAGTCAATAGTTCGAACAGTTTCACATTCTTTTGGTATGTATCTCTTTATTTCATTATGTCTTGAGTCATTGAAGTAACCAATGGTAACATTAAATGCTATACCTGTTGCGTCAGAAATTTCTTGTACTTTACTTTGAGGAAAGTCTCTAACACGAATGACTTCTCTCATGTGGTCAATAGTTTCTTCATTTACTCCAGCCTGAATGCAAGCATAAACGAAGCAGTTATCTTCTGTCATAAGTGTTGCAGTTCTTTTGTTCAGTTCATTGAAGATTTGGTAGCGTTCAAGATTTATAGGTAATGTGCAAAGATACTTCCAGAACTGCCCGCTTCTCTTCTTATAAAACTTCTTTTCACCATTATCTTTCCAAAAGCTTTCTATAAGTGCTGGGTTTCCTGTTTGCTTAAGAGCTTCCAAAATGGCTTTCTGGTCATTTGTCAGTGTGCTTTCATCTCTATATGGTCTCTTTTTTGGTTTGCCTTTCTTTACATCTGACATCGTTAAGCCTTCATATTCTGTTAAATCATACATCTTTATTTCGGTAAGATTCTTTATGTTTGTCAAGAAGAAGTCATAGTGCATTTCAACAATACCTGCAGCATTTGCTTCTATCTCTGATATAAAGTTCTCCTTCAAGAGCTGATGTAGTAATGTTCCAATATTATTGAGGTTTAACGTAGAACATTCATACTTTCCACCAAGTTTATAACATACCATCCATCTCTGTTGGGAGTTTATTTTAATTTTCTCTAAGAGTCTCATGAAAACCTTACCGAAATGTTTGTGTAAGTAGTCTCTGTTTGGTTCATCTAAAGCTTCGATGTTAAAGTCAATGAGTCTATTGCCTGACTTCACATTCCTCTTCCTATTTTCTTCATCTTTCTTTAACCATCTCTCACCTTCTTTTGGTTTGTCGTCAATGGAACGAATGACATCGTTAGCTTTGCGAACTTGTTCTATAGCACTTTTAAACATCTCTCTTCTCTGTTGTTTCAGTGTGTCATCTCTCTTTCGTGTTTCACCAACGTTTGCATTTGTTATGTCAAACATTTCTCTTCTTACTTCATGAGGTATTGAACGTCTATGATATAAGTCAATAGCAACGTCATTTAAAGGAAATGCTCTTGCATGGACTTCGTCCTCGCCGCGTTGCGGCTTTATGAACTCATGAATTCTATCATAAGTTATTTCACCATTATAGTCATTGAGGATGTCAGCGAGTGCCTTTTTGTTTGTTGTGTAATGCTTTGCAACATCTATATTAGCTTCTGTAAGAAGTTGTTTTATTTCCGAGTGTTCTAACTTAGACAACTTCCGATACATCTTTAGTAGGAAATAAAAAAATATTTTTTGAAAAAATTAGATTAGATTTTTTTAAGTTATTTTTCAAAATAATTTAATATTTTTATTTTAATGAAACACATGCAAGATTGCAAGTTCTTTTCATACAATGCTCTCGCTACTGTCATCAAGAATGAGTTCAATAATGCTTCAAACGTCAATGTTATCTTTAACAAGAAGTTTGTGAAAGAATCTAAGTTTGGTCAGTATGTCAGACCATTAGCTATTGTCATTGACCGCAAACGTTATACTTCACAAGAGTTAGCAGTAGTTTTGAAACAAAAGGGTTTCTTCGTGAATGTCAAAGATACTCATTATACTGTTATAAAGAACTCCAACATTGACTTCTTCAGTATTGCTATGAATCTTTCCGAACAGAAAGAATATAAGAAGGGTGAAACATCTGTGAAATATTATCCTTCATCTCTGAAGACAATAACGAACAAAGATGTTATACAAAAGTTCTTACCAAAGGTTGAAGAAGCTTCTATTGACATTGACGAAGGAAGTGAAATGGTTGAAGAAATTGACCCTGAAGCTATTTAACCAAAAATATATTTTTGGTGAAGAGGTGAGATTTCACCTGTTTTTTCACCTCATTCTCTCTTCGTTAATGTTGTCGTGACTTCTTCGTTAATGTTGTCGTGACTTCTTCGTTAATGTTGTCGTGACTTCTTCGTTAATGTTGTCGTGACTTCTTCGTTAATGTTGTCGTGACTTCTTCGTTAATGTTGTCGTGACTTCTTCGTTAATGTTGTCGTGACTTCTTCGTTAATGTTGTCGGGACTTCTTCGTTAATGTTGTCGTGACTTCTTCGTTAATGTTGTCGTGACTTCTTCGTTAATGTTGTCGTGACTTCTTCGTTAATGTTGTCGTGACTTCTTCGTTAATGTTGTCGTGACTTCTTCGTTAATGTTGTCGTGACTTCTTCGTTAATGTTGTCGTGACTTCTTCGTTAATGTTGTCGTGACTTCTTCGTTAATGTTGTCGTGACTTCTTCGTTAATGTTGTCGTGACTTCTTCGTTAATGTTGTCGTGACTTCTTCGTTAATGTTGTCGTGACTTCTTCGTTAATGTTGTCGTGACTTCTTCGTTAATGTTGTCGTGACTTCTTCGTTAATGTTGTCGTGACTTCTTCGTTAATGTTGTCGTGACTTCTTCGTTAATGTTGTCGTGACTTCTTCGTTAATGTTGTCGTGACTTCTTCGTTAATGTTGTCGTGACTTCTTCGTTAATGTTGTCGTGACTTCTTCGTTAATGTTGTCGTGACTTCTTCGTTAATGTTGTCGTGACTTCTTCGTTAATGTTGTCGTGACTTCTTCGTTAATGTTGTCGTGACTTCTTCGTTAATGTTGTCGTGACTTCTTCGTTAATGTTGTCGTGACTTCTTCGTTAATGTTGTCGTGACTTCATTCTTCCTCTTTGAAGTTATCGAAATATTCTGTTATTTTTTCCTTCAGTAATGGTAAGTCTTCTTTGAAGGTAAGTATTGTGCAACCTTTGATGTCATAGTGTGTTTGAGGAAGAGTATTTTTGACAATTTCTTTTATTTGCTCATTCGGTGTCATTGAAATCGGTAAGTTTTCACGATAGAACCAGTTTCTGTCAGATTTATATATTTTAGCAAAGGTCGTAAAAGCTTTTGTTGTTTCTTCTGACTAAATGCAACATAACCATATCTCTGTCTTCTTCATTCTCCAACTCTTCAGTATAAATCATATATACTTATAGTTCTTTTCCTTTCCTTTTGGTACTGAACGCGGTATTCTTTTCTGTATGCTTTTGTCTTTGGATTCAATGACTTCATCTTTTGCTTGAAGTTTCTTTTCCAGCTCTCCACGTTCTTGTCTGTGAAGTTCGTCAAGAAGTTTGTAAATATTCCAAGCATAACGTGGTGAAGCCCACATTGCAACTGCATTTACTAAAAGTCTATGAACATAATATCCTCTCAAACCGTTTGGCAATTTTTCACGGTTTTCATAGAGTTTTGCGACTGGGATTTTTTACCTACTCGCTGTTCTTCACTGTTTTCAGAAAAAAGTACGTCTCGCTGTGCTTCACTTAATAGTTCTATGGTGCTTTGGTTCCTAAACCAGTCTTTAGGAAGCTTAGTATCTGGAGCAAAACAAGCCGTCAAAATACTTTGCATTTGGTACATGTCGTCTTTGACAGAACGAATGAGTCTCAATTGTTTGTTATACTGTATGTATTCGTATTCTTCATTTATGACTTCATGAACGATAGCAGTTGTTGTGTTCTCTAATGTTGACATATCTGTCTTTACATACAAAATAAAAAAATAAATAAAAATAAAATTAGCGTTATTTTCTGACTTTCACAAAAGACCAAAAATAAACGCTTTACATGTATTTTTCAGCAACTTCGTCAAATAATTTATAGCTTTATCTATCTCATCTACTTCAAACGTTTCTTTACCTTTCGTGGGAGCACCATACATTTTCTCAAACTTTTCAAGTAGTTCTGTTTCAGCAGCTCTCATATCATTAACGAACACAACCTTGACTCTATTGACTGTACTGTCATATCTTTGAGTTATATTATATGTCCTTCCTATCTTATATCTTTTTGTGTTGAAGTCCTTCGGTTTCTGAACGATGTAAAGTAAGCCTTCACTGCAACGTTCCGTATCGAATGAACCATATGTTATGAAGTTATATCCAACAACTGGTCAATCCATAACAAAACTATTGGTATAAGACTTTTGTCTATAAGATATGCTGCAGTTTCATAGAATTTTACTGATATCATAAGCTCAGGATTTCTTGTCAAAAATTTTCTGAGTTGAAGCAATTCTAACCCAGTCCTGCGGTCTCTTTCCAGATGGAGATATAATGTCTGACAAAGAATATTTGTTGTATTTCTTTGAGTATCTTACGTTTAATCACCTATTCTAACCACTTTGGTGTCATTGTCTATCTTTCCAACTGTTTCAAACTCAATGTTTGTCATTTCTTTCTTTAAGTCTGCATAGTCGTTTCTCATACGTTCTATCTCTTTGACGGAGTAGTTATATTTCCTCATCGCTGCTTTACATTTAGAACATTGCGGGTTCATTTTTGCGTTATATTCTGAAACCTTACCTGCTAAAACAACTAAGGCGTCAATGGTTTTCTTTAACTCAAAAGCTGCTGGTTTTATCTGTTCATTCCATACCTTACCTCTTCTATCTTTATCTCTTATCTGCCATACACATTCAGCAACTAACGAAACAAAGTTGTCGTAGGTCTTAAATTCTTCAGATTTATATATGTCAGAGATGTTCTTATATACCATGTCGCAATCTTTGTCCATAACCTTATGGTTGCAATGAAATCCTAGAAACTCATAGTTTACCTTACGAATGAACTTCTTTATTTCTACTGAGTCAGTTGCTTTGACTTCAATTTCATCGAATTCAGGAATAGTGAGCTTTTGTTGCTGAATTTCAGGCAATTTGGGTAAATGGTCAATAATGTCCTGCATTTCATAAAGATACTGTTCATTTGTTTCATCTTTCGCACTACAGTCTAAATTACATGTTAAAAGTTCTTGCTTTATCTTCTGGATTTCTGTTTCAAAAGTATATGAAGACGAAGTGAAGCTTTTCATTTCTACTAACATAGATGTTGGATTCATGACTAACGAGTTTGGTGCTGTAGTGGACAGAGTCCTGCCGTTCGCGGCTTGAAGTGTTGTTGTGCCGATTGTTGAAATCATATCTTTTATACAAAATAAAAATTTTTCTTAGAAAAAAATTAGCGTTATTTTTCTTTCATAAGGAAATGTCAAAAATTCATGATTTTCGAGAGTTTTAGACCATGTTAGAAAAGTGGTTAGAAAACGTGTTAGATCTAACATTCTAACATAAATAAAGTTTATGTTAAAATAAATGGTACCATTAATAATACATGACTGTTCTCATTCATGTCTGATTTACATCTAATGAAAAAGTTTAGAAGAATTTTCTTATTCTTTCTGGCATATTTTTGTTTTTCCAGTACTCCCGCTCTAATGGTCCCAGATGTGTTGGCTTTGACTCTCTCAAGTTCTTAGATGGTATAACATCTTCAACACCTCCTTCATATCTTACTTTATAAGTGTCATCGTTTGTGTTATAGCCAAGTATTTCAATAACCACTCCTCGCTTTGCTTCGTCAATGGTTTCAGCAAGTTTGCCATTACTACTTTCAACTAACTTATGTCGAGGGTAAAACGCAATAGAGTCGTCAGCAGCTTTTATAAGATATCCATTACCTTGCGTAGAGTCTACGATATAATAATTTCGACTTAACCTTAAACGTTTCTTTGTCAATGGTTTGTCGTCAAGAACTACACGAACTTTTGTACCAGGAATGAGGGTAAATTGTGTTGAATTTCTGATATTTTGTGTTTGACTTCGTTTCTTTTGTATATACTTTTCTTCTTGTTGTTGTGTCATTGAATTTGGTGTATGTCCTGTTGTAGAATGTGTTGAGGAATTATATACTTCGAGAAAATGTTTCATTGTTTCTTCGGTAAAGTCTCGCTCTTGATTTAAATCTCTGAGCGTTCTTATGAAGCGGTTTATGATGCCGAGTATGTTATGGTTATGGTCTTCAGTAGTGTAGTGAGTTATGTTATGCTTAATGAGAAATTATGTGATTTCGTTGCTGAGGTATGCACTGTCTTGGTCTGATGTTAAAGTACTTGGGTTATGTTCTGCTACAAACTTTTGTAAAACTCTTAACACTTCATGAGTTCCTTTATTTCTCATTATATACGCATATGCTTTACGAGTGTTAACATTTAATGAAGATGAGGAATGGTTTATGTCCTCCTTTTCTGCTTTGAATGAGAGTGTCAAATTGGTATGCGTCAGGAGTGTTGGAGTAAATTGGTAAAAAGTAGTCGTAAGGATTTATTTTTGTTTGATGTACAACATTTTTGTCAAAGAACCTTTTCACTTCAGCTCTGTTAGTAAATCCCAACTCTTTGCAGCTTCATTGAATTTCTTAAATGACCTCCATGGATGTTGTTCGAATACTTCTTTCAAGCTCATTTATGTAAAGTTAAAGATTTTATTCAAGACGGTAAGCCCGCAAAGCAGGCTCAAGCGCGTTCATTGAACGCGGTACCATGCAAATACAGTCACAAATGGTGGCATAATCTTACCCGAGCCTGTTGGATTTGTTGTGAAAGTGTGTGAATGATTTCCTGTGGTTCCACAGAAAATACCTGTGCTTGAATCTACTGGGTCACTTGAAATATCATATCTATGCATTCCCTGTCTATCCGAACCTGCTGCAAGATTTGTATAACCTCTTTTTGTTATTGAATGTGAATGACTACCTGTTGTGTTTGTAGTTCCTGTATGAGTGTGCGGTGGAAGGTTTGCTTCTTTAATTTTCTTCGAACCACCTGTTTGCTTTGAAGAGTTCGCACAGTATAAGAATTTATCTACAATCTGCTCCCACGTACCGAAACCCAGAACTGTTGCTGGATTTATTGAGTTCATTGACGTATAAATAGAGCCTGCAGGATATAATGTTTGAAGTATTTCAGTCTTTAATGTTTGAAGCTCTGTTTTGTCAGCCTTCTTGTCATATAAATCTTGAGCAGTGAATTTAATATTATGTTCATCCTTCATGACATAAACATCTTTACATCTAATGTTTCTCATCGTCGTTATGTTTCATCCGATGTTAAACCTTGTGGAAAGTTAGGAGGTTTACAATATAATGCACATCCCCATCAGTTCTTCAACCGTTCCTTCAATACTTTCTATAGCAACAGTTGTAAAACTTGTATGTGTATGGTTCTTGTCTGCTTTCTGTCTAACATTGCTGGTAGTTCATGGGTTTCAAAGTTTCTGGCATGACCTTCAATGTTCATACATTTACTATTTAAGGAGTTTAGTGTATCTTTTACGCTTGTACTTGGATTCTCTAAATGGTGCACTTGAACCAAGGGTATAGTTCAATATTATGTCGTCTGCTCTAACAGTAGTGAAGGATTTATGTGTATGGTTCTTGTCGGCTTTACTGTCTAATGTAGCTTGAAGTTCATTTATATCGGAGATGTTGTGTTTATGAGATTTCAAAACTTTGTTCATTGCTTCGAGTTCAACTTTGTCAGCTTTACTTTTAATAGCATCTTCAAACGTTATTTTTGACTTAACTCTCAAAGTAAATCTTGGTTCAACTAATACACCTTTAACAGAGAAAGTAGAGGCATAAATTTCATCGTTATAACTAAATGCTTCTGGTGCTTTACCCGTGTCATACTGTACAGTACAGCTTATGTCATAACCTTTAGCACGAATGTATTTATATCTTCTTTCATTGGGGTCTTCCGTCTTCACTTCATCACTTCGTGTTAAATATCCATGGTAGTCCGTTATAATCTGTTCGTCTGAAGTTATATAATGAACGTGGTTCTTGACTTTATCACTCAGAGCTAAAAGCTCATTTTTGTTTGCTTTTTCGGCTAATTTCTCATTAACATCATTCACTTCTAATTCAACTCTTCCGCCAGAACTCTTATTATCATTAATCTTTTTCATTAATTCGGTAATTACGTCATAAAGACTATATTCTGTTTTCGGTTTTGTAAATAATGAGTCAAAATTTCTTTCATCATTACACGCTGACATTAATGATATCACCCAATTCCTTTTTCATTTATTCTTTCATTAATTCTGCAATAATGACGAATATATAATCTGTTAATTTATTCTCTTCATCGAGGGTTATAGAATGTTTTGAAATTGAATCATTAACTCCTCTAAATAAATCAATAACTTCAGGATACACGTTTTTAATGTCTCGAATAACCCGACAGTATCCTCGCCACTATGTGGCTCTGAGCCCGTTGGGCTCTGTTGTTCATGTTCTTCGTTCCCGTCGTTACGTGTTTTATATCTCTAACCATCATCAACGCAAGCCATAACCGGAGGGTTTGTTGCTAACCTGTTCGAAAATCCGTCCGTTATGTATGGTATATCTAAATAATTTCTTTGTGTTTGTTAAAACATTTGAAACAAGTCTTTAAAACCATCTACAAAATTTCCTGTTTCACCTAATGTTCTTGCAGCATTTACAAGCTCACCCATTCCCGCTTTTGACCCCCAAAACGTCCATATTCATTTATTTCACTCTGTATTGTTGTCCATTCAGCAAAATTAATACCCGATTCGCTAAGCTGAAAATGAAATTCAGTGGATCGAACTTAATTCCACCTTCTTTTTCAATTTCAACGAACTCACTAACATGAGATTTTAAATATTCTTTCGTTAAAATTGTTTTTCCCCGATGTTATGTCATTAACGAAACTATCACCGTCAAAAGTTAACGAATTCAATTTCGTCGTTGATGCTTTTATTTCATACACCGCTTTATCGATAGTTTTTGGCTCACCTTCTTTAGAAGCATATGAAACATTAATGAATGAATTATATGTATTCATGAATGAATTAAAATCAATGATTTTCATTAATGACGCCTTTAATGATTCATTTACTGTCGAATCCCTTAAAGTAATTAATGAACTGTCATGGGCTTCGCCCTGGTCGCTTCGGTCTGAAAGACCTTCAGGACTCAAAGAGTCCGTTTGCGACTTTATGAAAGGTACACTGCAAACCGTCGAGTTTGGATCAAATGCTATAGTTGGTGCAGGAATATTAATGATATAAGTCATTAAATCATTAAGTGACGTAAATAATGTTGTCGTTTTTGATTTAATTTCTTTAGCATCTGTTATATATGGTAATTTTATTTCTGTAGTTTCTGAATTAAAGATATTCGCTAAAATGTTTTGTAAACTGTTTTGAACAGCTGTGTAAACCGTTGAATTCGGAACTCTTACGATTTCACCATCCTTAATAAAAGGCATTGTACATGGCGTAGTGCTTGGGTCAAATCTTTCGGGATTATAATTCAACATATATTCTAACGCTTCATGAACAGACTTATATACTGTTGTGTCGTTCTTCATGACAACTTCACCATTTACAATGAATGGCATAGTGCATGGAGTTAAAATGGGGTCAAACTTTTCATAGTCCTTCCATGTTATGTATTTCTCGGTATTTCCATCACTGATAACAATATATTTGTCAGTAAGTGTGAGAGAGTATTGACCAAAATATAAACGTTTAGCTCTGTCAGCTTCATACGAATATGCAGCTATACTCATATTTTAATGAGAATAAAATGTTGTTCTATTTGCAAAGTACAGACCCAAACGAATACGGGACAGTAAAACTACAAACAAACTTAGGTCTACAGAATGAGTCACTTGCATTCAGAATGGTTGACTTTAATACTATTGCTTCATTCGTTATAACTGACGAAACAGATTTCATGGAGCTTGAAATAGATGGAAAGAAGCACGAAATAAGATTTCACAATAATGTAGAATATAAGATGGAAACATTAGCTGGAGTGTTAAATGCTCTCATAAATACTACAATAAACAAGGATAACGGAGAAAACTTAATGAATGTTAAACTTATTGCAGGAGTTTTGAAGTTCAGTTATGCAAAAGAGTTCAAGATAACACGAATGAGTCATAGAGTTCAACTTCTTCTGGGAGCATACCATATGACATTTCCTTTGAAAAGTATTGACAAAACGATTGAGATGAAATCTGTTCCATACGTATGTTATGGTAATTGTTTGTACGTTGAGTCAAAAATAGCTAATGTCACAGGTATTTCAGGAGTTAATAGTAAAGGTTCA